GAAGCACAAGTTTAACCACTCCATCAATGAAATTACTGACTTGACAGTGCTTCATTATGCCCTAAAGCGGAGAGGATCGCTATTTGTTCTGCAATAAAAAGGCTCTTAATTAGGCTGTTGCTCCTCCTGTGTAAATATCTCATTTTGCCTCTGGAACTGGGAAAGTTCACTCTATCTCTTGCTGTTTGGAAAAGGCCAAGTGACATCACGCAGCAATCTTTCACTTGCCGGACAAAATTAACGTGCTGATTATTCTGTTCCTGCTGGTGACGAGCAGGTGATTTGTCTCTAATCAGACCCGTCGAGTACTGATATTGCCCGTGCTTTGTGTTGCTTGGCAGGATGGCTCCAACTCAGCTCTTCTTTTCACATGTGTAAATCAAGCTCTCACTGTTGTTTTGGATTTCCAACAAACACTGCATATTAAATTCTTCTACAATGAGAGTCCATAGTTTTGTGGTGACATTGCGGCAAGGGATAAAGTATTTTCACAGCATGCTTCATTTGATCTCAGAGAAAGGATAACGGGGGGAAGAAATGGCAGAAATGGATGTTTGGCTGTCACAGGGGAAATTTTTGTCAAGCTATATCTGAATTTTGGGATGCCCCACATTTTATCTCATTTCCAAAACTATTCTTTTTGGATTCTCTTCAGTCAACCAGAGAATGAGAACATTGATAATGTTTATGAGCCTGAAAAAAAAGGCTCACCCTAAGTTTCTTAGCCACTAGCTTCTGGTGAAAGAAAATCAGATAACACCACAAAGTGGTATATCTTTCAGAGCAACCAAACTGTACCAGACTCTCTTTAAGGTCATTTTATTTTTGGTGGTAAGTTAAACAATTTATCTGTCCATTTGTTGGAAGTCCTTTGGCTGACTTTGTTCATCATTCATTCTTCAGCTTCGAGTTAATTGTTTACTAACTGCTAAGCTTGTGTGCACTGAAAGATGCCTTTGGGCTCTTATGGCAGTGCCAATATCCCCCTAGAACAACGGAGACGTGCCTGGTGCTACTGCAGCTGCTGGAACATGCAGATCTCACAGCTACAGGCTACAGCGCTGCTGCTTCATGCACGGGGCTCTCGGGATGGAGTGGAGTTATGTTCCTACCTGCTGGTTGAAATGAACAAATGTACATGGACAATATAGCCACAGAGAGGCTTATTCTTGCTGAAGACCTGGCTCCAAAGAATTTGCTTTGGTTTATCATGAATTTTGGAAGGTGCTGGCCCAAGATGGTGGGTCTCGAGCCCAGCAGGACAGTGACTCCTTTGTGATGTGCTTTTCCAAGGCACGCCAGGATTGAAGGGCCCTTTCCCTTCACAAGGAAGAGTTTGTAGAAGCTACGTCTTCACCAATATAGAGGGAGATGGATTCTATCCATCCCAGAAGCTGCTGCTACAGAAATGACCCAAGTTCTGCACGCCACTGGTGAACTTCTAGCATGTCTTGACATCCTGGAGTATGTGCAGGACAACATCTAGCAGGACATTCTCTAGCAGGACAGAAGCCATCTTTCCATATTCTCTTCTTTTTCAGCTGCAGTGATGGATTTTGTTACGTGTACTCACATGAGACTGAAACTTTGGAATTAATTTAGCACCTAAGAACGAACTGCTGTCTGATCGTAACTGCTATGGACCAAATCTGTGTTTAAACAGTGAGCATTTCAGAGGCATCCTTTGGCAGGGCTTACTGAGTCTGGGAGCTAGCCCCTGGACGTACAGGGAGAAGGATATGCCTCAAAGTGATGGCTTTGGTTAGCTTTGGGGCTTCCACAGATCGAGGCAGGAGGGAACATAAAAATAGAAGCTCAGAGTCACATTAGGCTCTGCAGCCCAGCACAAGCTGCATTCCAGTTTAATGGCCCCGCATTCCTGCCTGAACCACCTCCAACTAGGTGCCAGATACCCATCTCAGCTGCACCCCCAGTAATGCTGGAGGACTTCTGCCTCTACTGCCAGCAAGATCAGGTTCTGGCCCCACGTCAGCCCCAATTCTCCTCTCCAGACTCATCCAATTCGCTGACAAACCCAGTTAGCTTTCTGGAGACACGTGGCTGGTTTACTTCAGCAGTTTAATAAAAACATGGTTTTGACTGCCTGCTAATGGGATCGCCCGAGCTAGGCTCAGCTGCTTAGTGTGGGTTACAGTTTTACTTGCAAACACAGTAAGCATGGAAATCTATCTCGGATGACATCATAGGAAAACATTACCAGCTCCCTTAGAAGACAAGCAAGGTTTTTGCATGCATTTTATATAAATGCCTCGATTTCAGCTGGTTTCTCGCTACAATTTTCTGCTTGTGTTTCTTCCAAGGCAGATTTATTTTTCCGTTGCATTTTTTTTTCAGTTTGTTTCTGGTGTTGGCAATGTGCAGGGATGAAATGATAAATATCAGAAAAGACACAATCTACTCCCTCCTCCCCTCTAATTTTACCTTGCAGAAAAGTTCATCAAAGCTCACCCCTCCCTTTTGCACAGCGGAGACTTGAACCAGCCTATTCTGGTGCAGTGAAATGAACCAGATCCTGTGGTAGGCTCCCAGATACCAGGGTTATCAAGTGCAATTTTACGATTTAATTACCAGAGAATTAAACAGTGCACTTCACTGAGGCTGTTGGGTTGCTCTTGCCAGAGGGTTTTACCACTTGTGTGGGGTAAGAAGTCTTTTATACTTGGTCTTCTGAGGGTAAAAACACACAACAGCGAAATTTTGAAGCCTTAGCTACTCTGTATATGTCCAGTCCCTGATTTAGTCTGTGCATTTTGGAATATCCCGACCAACAGATGGGGTTTGAGAGCATCATCATCATGGTCATCTAGGCTGCCTCTTCACTGCTGTTGTCTCTGGATTGTGGCAATGAACAAACTTGAGCCTGGAAATTCCTACTCTCCCCTCCCACCCAACCTTCCCTCCCTCATTTATGACCACTTCTGCTAAGCTGCAGAAATTCTTGGTGGTTTACACGTAAGGTGGCGTTAATGTTTGTAGTTTCCTGGATTTCACACATTATTTGCTAAGAAAAAAAAAATCTGAATAAAGAGAAAACCCCTAGCTTTTAGGATTATGCTTGGAGAAAAAGGGTGGGAGATGCCCATGGTCTTTCTGATTCTAGAGGCAATGGGAGAGCTAGAGGCAGGTTAGGGGGGACACAGAGAGCCCAACGAAGATGCTTTCAAGCTCTAAAACTGGTGCTACAGATCAGATCACCATGTGCAGCTGAGAAACAAGTAGAGAAGCCAAGAAAGGAGACTCGACTCTTAGGTGGAAATGGATGTCTTATCTCTTGAAGTTGGAGTACCGAGCCTCATTTCTTCTTTCTCTGATGCTCTCCCCTAATGCTCTCATCCCATCAGGGCAGAAAAAAAAAAATGCTATAGCTTCTGGATGGTTGAGTCCTGCCATGGCAAGGCACTGTTTTCCTCCAAAGTAATGTTTCTGCCACTAAGACTGACCTCTGAAGGTGTGTCTTAAGGACATATCTTCCCCAGGGGGTTGGCACTGGTGGAGATGTGTGGGTGCAAACACCTCGTCTAGGCATGTTTTAAATTATCACGTGTGAGTACGACTTGCCCTGCAGGTAATGATTGATCCCAAACAGATATGTCTTTTAGAGCACTGATGCTCTGTAAAGATCCCCTTCCTCCCCTCATCCTCATTCACTCCTTCAGTGAGTAAAAAGCCCCATGAACAGCCTTCAGTGAACAAAAGGTCAATCAAAGAGCCTACTACCTCCTGGTCAATCAAAGAGCCTACTACCTCCTCCTGCCTCCTTAGCAGTTATTTTTTCTACTAAAACCTTGCTTTTAGTTTATTTTAACAGAAGATGCTATCCTTGAGGACCAGGCAATGTATGACTTGAATGTGATCAGAGGAGGGAAAAGAAAGGGAAGGGGACACCTTGGCACAGAGACGATGCAAAGAGAAATGCAGTGTGTTAATTCAGCATTTTCACCTCCAGAAGAGCTTCCTAGTTGCTCCAAATCTTCCAGTTTTGAACAGTTCCCTGCAAGCAAGCCCCAGACCTTGTCTCCTGACATCCCCACGGGTTTGCAATACAACAAATACTGTTGCTGATAGACTGTCCATACCAGCCTGCAGGGTGTGGGCTCAGAGATGAGCTTTTTTTGTACTAGACTGCATCCTACGTAGCAATATCAGAGCACACGGGTGTTTATCTGTTGGATGAGCTCAGGAGACCAAAACCATTCTCCTCCTTAATGAACAGGATATTTGGCAGCTGGATTTCTCAAAAGATGCCTTGAAAGTCTCACTAAAAATAGCAACAAAGAGACCGGAACAGCCAGTCATCAATGACTAAGCACTAGTTTTATGATCAGATCTTCATGTACTCTGCCTTGATTTGTGAACTGTCTCAAAGTAAAGTTCCTAAACAAATCGGATACTGGACAGAAACCTTTTAATGCATTTTCTTATGCATTAAAGGCACGTGATGAAAGTCTTCTTGCCCTATTAGCTTGACATTAACTCTTCAGCTGGTAAAAGCATTGCTTGTCAAATGTAATGCTACTCTGGGGAGAACCAGATCTTTTCTTGTTGTAATACATGGAAGAAGCTTTCCTGTCTCAACTCCCCTCTCCCTCTCTCAGACTATTTATGGCTTGACAACAGACTATTAGGAGGTGCTTAGGTCAGCTGAGCACCTTCAGTCCCACCACAGTTAGCAGGCTGAAAGGTCTGCAGCACCCGAGAGCATCAGTCCTACTGTTTCCATTTCTGTCTTACGAACCACGCTATAAAGAAGCATAAGCCACAAGATTCGATGTCACTTATTGTCCCCCCATACCACAGCATTTAATGAGTGAAGAGCTCCTTTTATCCATTGATTCTCTGCAATATTCAAAGTCTGGGAGAAACTTCACATCCTTCAAAATCACACGAATCAATGCCAGCACTTGCCATACATCACACCCTCAATTCAAGCTATAACATGAGAGGCAAGCCCAGACCTTAACAGAAAAGTAAACACTTACCTTTCTTGGTTTCACTTTGTCGTGGTAGTCGTATTGAAAAATTCCTTTGTAGCTAAGTCCTAACCACCAAGGAATTCCCTGCTTGTCCTGAAAGAAAAAAAAATAGAGTTAAACTGAATGGGAAGAGGAAAGGCTGGAGATTTCCTGGGTTGTATGTCAAGGTAAATATTTGTTTCTAAGCAATGTCCTTGAATGTCGTGGGTGCCATTAAATGGCCCTGGCTGAATTACCTCAAGTCGCAAAGCTCCTTGGTGTTAAAGGGAGATCTTTTTCACTTTTAGCTATGACATCGAAAACCATTTAGAATGCATCACCTGCGATAGAGTTACTCAAAATGCTGCCAGGGGAGGTTTGGCATTAGTCCCTCGTGCAGTGGTACATCCTCTTTCTCTGCCCTGTAAATTATTCAGTCCGAACACTCAGAGATCGGAGAGGAAGAAAAGAGAATCAGCCAGCTGACTTGAATTATGTGGAGGGATTTTAGCATTAATCTTGAAAATGAAGCAGTAATGGGATCTGAGAGCTACCAAGTGATAAGGTCTGACAGGCTTGGACCCAACTGCTTTGTGTCTGAAGTGCGCAATAAAATGGCCTTGTGGAGTAATGGCTGATATCTGATACTAGCCCCTTAGCAATTTACTGAACTGGAGTCCTCAATGAAATTACATCTGTTCTGTTAATGCGATAAAGAAAGGCAGGGTAAAACCCAGCTAAACCAAACCCCCCACATCAAGCAGAAGCAAAACCTATTATGTGCAATATTTGTTGCCTCACTGATGCTCACTGGCATTTACTGATCATGGAGAGTTCACTGGAACAGCTCTCAAGAGCTTGCAGGCTTGGACACGCAGCCCGATCCATCCAATCTTGCTTGGTCTAGAGTAGTCCAAGAGATGCAGAGGGTGCTGGAGTAATCCTAGCCTCTGGTAAAAGATGAGGCTGATGTGTTTCGCAAAATTCCTTGCACATAAGCAGGAACAGACGAGGAAAGCACATCTCCCTGAGACAGGTACTGTCAGATCATTGTGTTTTTATGGTAGCCCACGTGTGGGAGATGTATGCAAAACCCCCATGATCCGTGCAGAGAGATAATGATGAAGCACATCAAAACTTCAGGGGTGATAAATGGGGGAATACGCTGTGGAGGGTGTGGATCTAGCTTTCTCTATATTCTTATTGATTTCTCTTCTTAAGAAAAATAATAACCCTTCACAGCTGGTCAGGCAGGGAAGCAGTGATAGTAGTATGAGACTGGAAGATTTGGTGATAAAACACTAAACAAAAGAAATAAGGAATTTCAGGAATAGCTGCATGAAATTGACACAGTTAGAAGCAGAGAAGGGTTTTGTGTGTGGAGGGGTACAACACGCCATCCCTAGAATACGGTCTAGTGTTTTGGCATTAAAAGGGTGTACTCCATCTGTATCCATCTTCTATCTCAAGTGAAGGGAGCTGGTGTCTGCAGATTATGGCTGGCCCTAGTTAGTTGCTCTTGGATGTGCAGGTTAGGAAAAATCTGACCTTGTGGAACTACGAAAAGGAGTGGAACACTGAGCCTGCCAGCAGAGTGGCTGCTGGTCCCTTTGGTGCTGGTTCACTGGCATCACCACAGCTTGCTGCTGCCTGTGAGCTGAACATCTCTAGCACAACAGAAAGACTGCGAGAGTTTTATCTTGAAGAACAGGATTTTCCTCTGGGGAGCTATATTTACTAAGCATTCACTACTCACTTGAAATAAGTTTATCCTACTACAGGAAGCGAAACAAGACTTTAGCAATAGCGCATTGTCCTCTGAAAGCAGGATGGTTATTTGCACCTCTCCCCCTTCCTCTCCACAGTCAGTTTAATTCAATAAATAAACCTCATTTGTAGCACGTACCTTTACTGCGTAATAATGCACTCCATATGTTGGGAGGGATTCTACAATGCTCATGTAACTGCAAAACAACACATAAGAGAAGAAAGTGTCTGAGAAGCTGAGAGAATGATCAGAAAAGAAGTGCTTAAATAAGAAGTAAATAACCACTTAAAAATAAAGCATTAGATGAGATGGGAGGCATAGTTACATATTGGTTTTACAGGCCAGTATATACATTTCCTGATAAAACAAAGGTCACCAGAAGTTGCTTTTATTTCACTTACTTTACAATTGCTTGACCTCTTGTCTGACCGTTTAGCTTCTTGTAATGCTCAATGACTCGGTCCTCACTGGAAAGGAAGAAATGAGATGTTATATTTAAAGGCAGTATCGTGACTTACTCACAAACATGGTATCTATTTGTACAGACTTTTCCCTCTTCACGTTACTCTCCTTATCTACAAATGGTGCCTACAGTGTTGTAGAGCATGGCAAAGAGATGTTTGCTGCTCAAGCTTTACCCTAGCTGGTGCAACTTCTTTCCAAGCCCACCAAGTTCTCTTAGTGAGCAAAGCTTTCTGAAATTGGTGGCCACTAATAGCCCTAAACTCCACAGATTAGTCCTCACTGCAACTGCACTGTACAGGAGCTCTAGTGGAAGTACTCTTGGAGCCATCTCCCTCAGCAAGGAGTTAAATTCCCAACGTACACGGAGGCAACGTCTGTGGCAGGGAATGTGTCCAAGCCACTCAAAGTTGGGTCCCTTTACTGTTAAAGTATTGTTGTGCCTTTGCATATTTCTTGCTTATATTAACTCCTATTCCCTCAGGCAATACTTGGCCATGTGCTGGCAGTTAGCATGGGTCAGGACCCATTCCCAGTGCTGCTTTGGAGAATAAAGAGTTTCATGGCACAGAAGGAGGGTGTTCTGTGCCAGCAGAGAACAGTTCTACGTGTGTTTGATAAATGTAGACATTCACCTCTACACAGTAGAGATGCAACACCCAAGAGCAGGTCAGCATGCCCCAGATGACAGAGACATCTCTACGCTCACCTTTAAGGAATCTCATTCCTGTTCTCTGGTGAATGAGCCCAGAACCAGAGCGATTGGATGCTTTCAATCATGTGTCAGCAAGGTGACAGCATGGCAAAGCATAAGCCAAGGTCCTCCTTTCAAAGGTTCATGGTTCTCTCTTTGGTTTTTAATAGCATTCTGCTTGATCTACAGCCATGCAACTCATCACAGCCTACAGGCTTGGTACTTTCAGGATCGTCTGACTTTGGATCTTTCATTTCCAGCAGCGTAATGCCCACAGGACCAGCTCTGCTCCATCGGCATGGCAGAATGCCCAAGTCCTCATTCCTCAACCCAATCTTTTGCTCCTCATCTTGTCACTCCAAGAGCAAGGAATCTGTTGAGTCTCCCGGAGGTCCATTACAGAACTTGCTAGGGCAAGAGGAAGGAAACCTGAACTGAACTACATGTCACCTTTCTGCCCTCCCACCTGGCAGGGCACAAGCTTCCAGTGGCATCGGGTGGCCAGCTAATGCCATCATGCTGTGTGGGGGTTACGTCAATGTGAATGAGCATTGCTCCTTCCCTGCATTTCCTAGGTCTTGCTGGACCTTTAAGGGCAACCACATGGTTCTCTGCGATGTGGTGATTCTTCCCCAGGCAGAACTGAAGCTGTTTTTGCTGAGTAGACCCTCAGAATAATTTTAATGCTTAGAAAATACCCGTAAGGAAATTCAGCAGCTATGAAACCATATCCAGCCCGCTGATCCGAGCAAGTTCCACAGATGTTCTGGGCGTGCACATGAAGGCAGAGCCCAGCTCTCCTGCTACGATTATCATAAACAGGATTACTTTTGGAGAAGTAACTGAATTACATGAGTGTTCAGGACTGGAAGATCTCCAAACCCCATCATTTTTAATAAAAAAGATGGACAGAGAGGGCTTACAGCCCTTCGAAATTACCTCGTAAACCCACAATTACATGGGGATGCAATTCCTCTCTGTCTCAGACAGGAACAAACCAGGAGTGACTTCTCAGAAACCAGTGGAGTTTATCCAGCAGAAAACGCTCTTAGCTTTGGTTTCTTCTCTGGGAATTTATCAGAGAGGTCGAGCTCTGATATTGGTGCTGCTCAAGGATAGGAGAGGGGCACCTGCCTGCTGTTATCATGTGATTCTGGGTGGGCTCTGCTTTCTCACAGACGATTATTCTAAGGTTCTGGATATGTTCCTAAACCATACTCCTCTGGAAGTATAGGGACGTCAATTAATGTCCCGTTTCCTTCAAAAGGATAGACTGGATGTCAGGGAGCCCTCCCAAACAGCTGGATGAATAAAATTATGTTCTCAAACCATACCAAAAGAAGTGGGATAGTCCAGACTCTTCTGTTTCCCTACAGAAATACAGGCAACACTCCCTGTGCCCCCACTGCGCTGTTGGGATACTGATGATGTTCCTTTCTGCTGCATAATGTTTTGAGGTCTACAGGTGCTAAATGCCAGATGAGCATTATTCTCATTTCTACTTTCTTCTGGACAATAAATAAATAAATAAAATAAAGCCTGAATTATCAACTAGGGCATGAATATGGGGATATACTGCCTCTCACCTTTCTATAGCACTGAGTTAATCCCATTGGGAAGAAAGAAAGGGGTGCTCCAGAGCACCATTCACGTGGTCTGTTTGGATGGGAGGGGGTTATTATTATCATCACTTCTCCCCACTGACAGTAAAGGGCCCCTCGTTGAGCTGGAGACATCTGCACCGAAGAAATGTTCGTGCTCAGATGAATCCCACCCTAGCTGCCCGCCAGACGCTCCTCAGATAGTTCCTTGGGCTCCTTTTTCATCCCCGCAGCCCTGTGCAAGGACGATCGTGCAGTCCGGAGGTCACTTTCTGCCTCCAGCTCTGGGGTGGAGGGGCAAGCCCAGCACGTGCCAGGGAAAACAAGCAAAATCATTCACGGGTCAGAACAGAGCATTAACAGAGCTTATAGACCTTCTCCTCTATCGTTTCAGCTGCTCATCTCCGAGCAGCTGCCGTGCTGCTATTGACAGCTGGGAGAGAGCTGGGAGGCTGCCTGGACCACCAGCTGATGTCTCCTCCTGCCCAGCTCTGGCTGGTTGCTGTGCCAGAGACACAGAAACTCATTCAGAGCTCATGTGGAGACATGGGGGAGGTGGGAGCACTACTGCCTGCTTGTCAGCTCATAAAATGTTCCCCTCCCGAGCTCCGAAAATTAATACTTGGATGATATCCTGCAGCAGATAACTCTGATAAAGATATTTAGAACTACCAACAAATCCCTTCTGTCCCAGCAGCCTACAGAACTGGGCAGCAGACAACCTGCAAGCAAATGCAGGGCCAGAGTTTCTTATCACCAGATCCAGTTTTTCAAAGGTATTTGCTTCTCCCCTCTCTCCTCAGCACATTGAGCTGTTTATTTCAAACGTTGCTGCACCTTACTGGTATTCTGTCTCCAACCTGATTTGTCCATTTTGATGATATTCTCAAACTTCCTTACAATATCTTTGTTTGCAATGATTTGTGCAGTCAGATACTGCCCCACTGAACCCAGCAGAGCATTTCCTGGGCAAGTGGGACCAAGAGGATGATCAGAGCCTGTGGTCTGTATTGTATAAGAGAAACTTGTGATTTCCAGTTGATATTTTCAGTGTTAGATTTTTTGGGAATGCTGATGGTTGCTAAAAACAAGTTTGCACTCAGTCTGTTGGGAGCCAGAAGTCTGGCTTCCCCCTGCTTAGTTGAAAATCCACTTCTAGCATCCACTTTTGTGCCATCATCTCTGCTCTTGTGTTCTTGCTGGCAGTTTGATACTGAGCTGGCTTGCTGGGGAGGATCTGGATTGAGATAAAATGCAATGACAATGACTGCAAAGGAGCACTGTGAGCTAACACACTTTCTAAAGATTCTCTCCAGTCTCACCGTGACTAGTTTTGCATCTAAAATAATAAATCCTGTGAGCCATTTCCACGCATGGGCAAGAGAAATCAAAACTCAGGGCCTCAGTTCCTGGACTGTGTGGGAGGACCAGAAGCTCAGCTTTCATTTAAAAGTAAAACAACAACAACAAAAAAGAAACCACCCTTCTTGCTTCAATCAGCGATGCTATGGAGACGCTTGAGAACAAGCTGTGTAACTGATTCGTCTTAATCTACAGAGAGCTGGAAACAGCAACTCCATGCCACACAAATTACAGCCTTCATCTTTGTTGTGATGTCTGCAAATCCCCAAGGAGAGGTTACAGTGGCGAGGCCTGCAGCAAGGGTGTGTAACCTGCAGACTCCAGGAGGGAGGAGCTGGGGGCCACAGGCTGTCTTCCTTCAGACCTCACTGCAGCGAAGAGTCCAGGACTCATCCTGCTGGTCTTACTACTCGATAGGAGCAACAGGTGATACTTTTTCATGGTGTGACAGAAATGACATTATTTCTTGCAGTTCTAGGCCAGTAACTTGCTGAAAGTATTGCAGTATCTACCTGAACATCTTTATTATCACCTCTTGGTCCATTTCAGACAATTTTTTGATGCAGTTGTAAATACAGTATAGGGTTATTTTGTAGGTTTGTTTTAAACTAGAACAATCAGTTGTCCAACCCCTGACATTTTAAATGCTCCTTTCTGGAGCTGGAAATTCACTTGCTATTGCTTTGTCCTAATACTGAAGAACTGGAGCATAAAACTGCATATAGAAAGGGGCAGGATAAAATGTGTATCTGGTATGCAATCTGTGTGAGATGCAAAAGAGAAGAGATACGGTAACTACGTTTTTAAAAATGTTGTTCTCTTACATCACTGAACTTTGAGCTTTTTGTCTGATTCACCAGCAGCCTCTTCTTGAGAGCATTCAGCATTTCAGGGGGGTGTTTATGAAAAAGCCCCCATTAAAAAATAATGAGCTACTGGCACATAACAGCTCCCTGCGACCTGGCCACTGAAGTGAAATCACAAGGGAGTCACAGGACTGTAGCCACTGGTTTTATTACCCCGTTGGAGACAGCCAGCTTCCCAACCTGCGACCTGCTCTGAGTCACAAGGGAACTCCCCCAGAATTAAGCTGCAAGAAGTGCTGTAGCCCGTGTATAACCACGAATACTCACATCCTGAGCATGAGGCTTTCACACGGCTCTTCTTGCTCCAGGTTGCCCAAACCGAAGGAGGGGATGGAGGCAGTCCCAGACCTCACTGGGATTTCCCAGCAGAAGCCTCTAACGTAAATGTTCTGACTAACTCTTGCTGACAGTGGGGGCAGACACGTCCTGATGGGCAGACGGAGCCTCACAGGCTGCCTGGGTTGTCGCTGCTTTCCTGTATACAGATGTTATCACAGGCAGCCGAAATAAAGCCTATGTGGGCACTTTATGAAGACCTCACTTTGTGTTGCTGCTGGAGGGTCCGATTTGCCTTCTTCCCTGTCTGTGGTTCCTCTGGTGGTGGCTTTTAGCTTGAGCTACCTGCCTGTCAGTCAGACCAGGCCACAGATCTGGCTGGAAAGTGACTGGTTTTTAGTGTATTTGTGATTTGGGAAGTATTAGTATGTGAAAAAATGAAGGAGATGCTTGAAAGAGGAGATCATTCTGCCTCCAGACTGTGGTGATCCACATCTTTTGTATAAATGTCCCTCATCTCAGCCTGGGACTCTGGCTGTCTCCTGATATGCTCAGAAGATGACTGGGACCTCACAGACTGGTTTGTCTGTGGCCTGACACTAGGTACAGCTAAGTCTGCTGTTGTAGCCACGCTATGAAAAGTGAACGGAATTCCTGGCAAAGTAAGAACAGAACCATCTTCCCCTGCCATCCTCAGATTACCAAGATGCAGGAATTAAAAGAGGAGCAGATAACGAAGTTCACTCCCACCCTCAGGCTCAGAGCCTAATGCTTTAAAGACAAACATGAAAGGGGAACAAACAGAAAAATCAAGTGAAAGCATCTCACTCCTAATGAAGAGTGTTTCCCCAAATTCTTTCCTATTTGCACAGATTAAAGGGCTGGGCGGGGTGGTACAGAAGCTATCTGTGGGGCATACAAACTTTAATTATGGCCTTTCTCCTACCCTGCATTCTGTTTCCAGTGCAATAAAAACTAAAGTTACAAGGGTCTACCTCTGACCATCACCTAGGTCACTAAGAGGAGGAATAATTTCCTTTTAGTTCAGCTGTGCCACACAGAAAGGGCTTGCAAGATGAAGCTCAGTCACTCAAAACCAATAAGGAGCAGAGCAAAACATTGACATGACAAGCTGTGGTCACGCTTTCTTTGGACAGATATAAAGTGCAGGAAAAGGGAACGGCACATTAGGTCCCCTGCTTTCCTTTTGCATGCTTATGGTGAATTTTCTGGCCAGGCATTAGGGCAGACATTTGTCACATGGGGAAACTGAGGCCCAGGGTGGTAGATTGACGTGGGCTGAATCACACGGTGAGTTGGTGGCAGACCCAGAGCTAGGAGATGGGAATTCCTGCATCCCTGCTTCACCCTCAGATCACTAATTGCTGTGGCCAGGCCCTGGATGAGACACTGCAAAGCAGTGATACGTTAAACAAAACAGAGAGATATGTTACCAGTAAGCAAGGGAAGGATGCTCCTTCAGCGCCGGTGTTGGAAGGGCTGGCAGCTTCTTTAATTCATTCCTTACAACTTCATTGCTGAAAGAGAGTTCAAAAAGAGGATCAGGCTACAAGAAAACAACCACAATATTTGATATGACCTGACCTAGCTGGCAGGCTGCTGCAGCTCTACATCTGTTCCTCCTTAACAAAAAGCAATGGGGTTTCCTTTCTCTTCTCTCTTTATTTGTTTTATGGCAGACCAGTTAACTTTTCCCTCTATTATCAGAATTGGAGAGAAGCTGTCCCAGATGGTTAAGCTGAAGCTCTGGGCTCACTAGTCCCCATGTCACATTGCGTCGAGCAGGGTTCAACACTTTCACATAGAGAAAAGAATAAGGGGAAGAGAGAAAAAAAAAAAAAAAAGAGATGCTTTCAGCTGCAGAAAAGCACCTTTCTTTAATGCTTACAACCTGCTGCAAAAAGTAATGATTTGCTTTCTTAGCATCACAGGTTGCTCTTAGCCTCTTGCCCCAGGGAACTGGCCTTTGCACAGCATCTTCACTGATGAGGTTCCAGCTTGAATTTATGTCCTGCTCCACAAAACCCTTCGTTCTCCTCCCTGCAATCTCCAGTGACGGCTCCAGCCAGCTGGAGCAGCATAACTGCATGAAATAACTCCATGAGCAGGGAAAGCTCACAGTGTGGCGAGGCAGATTTCATGGCGGGCAGATCCCCACCGATGAAATTAAACCATGGGGTTTTCTCCTAGAGGTCCAAAATGCCTCCCCTCCCACTTACAAACACACACGGTATTGTGAACACACGACAAAAAGTCCCTCAAAGTCCTGGGAAGGAAATCAGTGCTGTTCCTGCTTTTAAAATCTTAGAAATGGAAACCAAGAGGGACGGGCAGGACACTGAGGATTGCCAAAGAACTAATATTTATTGGCTAACTTCTCAATAGCATTTTTTTTTTTTTTTTTTTCTGCCTTCTTGCATCCTGCCCCATTAGAGACTCCAAGAGTCCCGGGACGTCGTCCTGAGCTTTGTTCTGGTCCCTGGGCCAGGCTGTGATGGCTCGCAGAGATATGGCGCTGCCTCGGCTGTAAATTCCTTCCCGCAGCATTTCTCCATTGGCACAGCCCAGCAGCAGGCTCTGCCTGAGACCTTGGTGGGGCTGCCTTAACTGGAGTTTGCAGGTTAATTGCTAGGTTGAGCCATAGGGTAAAGCACTAACATAAAGCCTGGATTAGCTATTCTGGGGATGCCTACGAGCATTGATTATCACGGGAGCTCCCTGACAAGCAATTCAGTGGTTTTAAAACGGGACCAGACCTTCCAGTCCAAGACAAATCTATGACAGAGATGCCCAAGTATCAATCAGACTCGAATTTTGCAGTGTCTGAAGACCCACTCCTGCCTAAATCTCACGGTCAGTTGAACATCAGATCCTCCTTTGTACGTGCAAACGCTCAAAAAACACTCTGATGTTTCCTTCCACGGCAGGTAAATATCTGCACAAGCCTGAACACGAAGCTGCTCTGCTCCACGTTATCTGCTGATCTGGCCACTCTGCTCCGTGGTTGACAGCCCAGAAAACAAGCTGCTGCTGTTTACAGAGTTCGCAGGATCTGCTCAGAGACATCCCCACGGCGTGTACATACTCAGCTCCTATCGATTTTTTTTTTTTTTTGACGTTATGAAAGAAACTGGAAGAAAAAAAAATACAGAAAAAAAAAAAAAGCCAGAACAACTGGAGTACAAGCAACGGTCCCCACCCTCAAGTGAAGACTTTCTGAGGCTGGTTTCTCACAGAAGGAAGTTGAGAAACTTCCAAGACTTTTCTGGGAAGACAGGGAGGAATTTCCAAACAGGGGCTTTCTGAGCCCAGACAACTGTCAAGTAGGACGATTAGCGGTGACGAACTATCTCGGAGAGGCTGGGAAAAAGCCTGAACCAGCGCAGGCTCCCATGAAAGCAAGGGCTAACACCACTCAGCTCCCTCTTCTCTGCCAGGGAGGAGCAAAGCTTGATAAAAGATAAAAATAAGTCTTCAAAAAATCAGATGAAAAGACACCCTTAGTGATGCTGTTGGATGGGATCGGTATTTCTGATAGAAAACGCCATAAAGGTGCCTCACCACTTCAAAGGGTCAAATGAATTTCAGGTAATCACTTCCAGGAACAAAAAGGCATTTCGTGCCCTGCTCCATATATTCGCCGAGGCTTCTGGCAAGAGTTGTCTCCAGCCAAAAGAATTTAAGTTCCCCAAAGGATGTCAAATCAAACCGAAGGAAAAAACTAAGGACTAATGTTGCGTTTAACCGCTGGCCAGGGGGTCACTTTCCCTTTGGCTCCTTTGAAAACACTAAAGTCCTTCATTTTTAAAGCATTCCCGGTGGGATTACAAATGGTTTCCTACTTACTGCCTTTCCCACTCTTCCAGTGAAATATCTCAGTGTGTTTATTTTATGACTGTCTTTAGAAAGTGTTTAACCCTGTCACTTGTGTTGCATTTGTTTTCTGAAGTGTCCACCCCCAGGGCTGGTATATATGGAAGGGTGCTTTTAATGCAGATTTATTAATGTAGAGGGTAAAAAGCTCCAACCACGCTTCCTCCGTGTCCTCCAGACCACTTCAATCCTGCACGATGGTGGAAATTATTAAAAAGACTGAATAGCAAGATGAAAAGTGAACCGGGAAAGGCATCTGCGTGGGATCCTGGATGCTAGTTAGCCATCCAGAAATCGGGCTGGCTGGCTGGAGAGTGGACCTCAAAAACAGGTCCTTTCTGCCCTCGTTATTTCCTAATTTGCTGGGAGACAACTTGGAGCTGAATTGAAATGTTGAACATTATTTAACTGGAGGAAATGCAGCAATGAGGGCCTGCCTGAAGAGCTAGCTGCAATATTTCAGGATTTTCTTTTATTTAGATCCCCAGCTTTTCTAATCTAGATCCTCAGCTTTTAAGACCAACGTTGGCATGGGTTTCCCAAAGGTTTTGGTCAACATCAGACTGGCTTCTGAAGCCGGTAGGATTAATTACAGGGGAAAATCTCAACAGCAATATGCCATGCCCCATTCCCAAATAAGCCAGAGCACCTGTTTCCTTCCTCTTTGTAGGCCTGAAGAGGGTCACACCTTTAGGATTTACATTCTTCTAAAGAAAAGAAACTTGAAACTGCCTTTTGTCCACCAACCAAGTGTGACTCAGCCTCCCAGTGACAGACAATAGTAGCTTGGGCTAACAGCCTCTGTATCAGTTTGCAGGATACCAACTCAGGAGCTTCACACAGGTGATCCCGTGCCCTTGAAGTCCAAGTTTTGGTAACTAATAACAAAAAGCACAGAGCAAATCTTACAGGTATTGTTTGAGCTGAGAATCAGCTGAAGGGGGATACCTGATAGTCCTAAATGAAGTGATATGTACCCGATTAAATGTAAAAATGCTTCAGTCTTGTCAGCTGAAGCATCTGGGGAGTCTTAAATAAAGTGAAAACCTCTCTCTGTTAATGCAGAATACTAGGAACTTCTCAAGGAGAATAACTTTTTATTTTAAAACCTTGCTCAGCTCAAGTTCTGCCTCAATCTTTATCAACTCAGAGATGCTCCCTCTGCACAAACCTGCTGAAACCCGGAGCTAGGCCAGGCCACTTACACCCAGCACTGCGAACTGCTCGGCTGAGGTCACCTAAAAACGTTCAGGATCTCAGGGTTTCTGATGGATTCAGTTCTGAAATGAAACACATGTACAAGATGGAAAAATACTTAGTCAAACTGTGCGCTGGAGAGGCCAAACTGATCTGTCAGGGCTGCTGCGGTATCTTAGATCAAGATAGATCAGGGTGGTGCAGGCTGTGTGCTCTCCAGGTCCCCCAGACAGCCACTGGGGCTTTTCAGCAGTTCTTTTCTAGATCCTGGCCAAAGAGGAGCTCGCAGTTGCACAGGCCATAAATCGGATGGTGGCAGCAGACAGCACAGGTGTGGAAATCTGCAGTCTACATTCCAAGTGTGTAACCCTGCCAAATGAACTTTTTTTTTTTTTTTCTCCAAAAAGTGGGAGTTCAGGAGTTCAGCCTTCGCGCAACACGCGCTGCCACGAACGAGCTGCTGTCTCTGAACCTCAGCAGCGAGGCATTCCCAGCTGCAGTGCTCCCCTGTCTCAAGGAGCAGCCAGTTCCATCCCCAGCTACATTTCAGCAGCAGCTAACTGCAGGCGTTGAAGGCAGCGTCAGTCCTGCGAGCAGCCAGCCCGTATGTCTCCAGCTGCAGTTCCTCTTTCTGGCCCCAGGCTCGGTTCCTCTCAGATTTTGTACTCCTGATACGAACGAGCACAGGTCTCAGTGGGCAAGTCTTGACCGCAGTGACCTCACGGTGACTCCGGTAGCTCCTGGATCTCACCCAGCACGTAAAGCTCTGTCAGTACACGTTACAGGGGAGGCACTGGACAGACATCCCCGGAGATGCTAAGTCTGCTCCTACAACGTGGTCGTGGAACAGAATTATAGAACATCTGGAGTTGGAAGGGATCCACAAGGATCATCCAGTCCCACTCCTGGCTCCACACAGGACCGCCCAAAAATCAGCCCATGTGTCTGGGAGCAGTGTCCAAATGCTCCTTGAACTCCAGCAGGCTTGGTGCCACGGCCACTGCCCTGGGGAGCCTGTCCCAGTTCCTGACACCCTCTCAGTGATGAAATGTCTCCTGATATCTGATCTGAACCTCAGGGTAGGATTCTTCATCCTTCCTCCAAGAAGAGGCTTTAAACCCCATTAATGTAGCAGATTGCTTTGCCTCCAGACCCCGTTTATAAGTTAAGATCCCTGGCATTTGTCAGCAAGTTGTTATTATGACAGCACTTCTCTGCTTGCCTTGGCCATAAGAATTCCCCTTTTCACTAAAAACCTTTGAGATGCACAGGTGAAAAGCAATAAAAGCTAACTTTTAATGGTGATGGTGATGGCTAACACACCAGCATGGAAGAAGCAGTTAATACCATGTGTTGTGGTATCTTCTGTGCTCTCAGGGCAATGCACTTTGATAAACTAAACCATTCCTTTTACAAGGGGCAACAAAGATGGATGCTTTCCACTGGCTATTTCTACTTCAGGTCTGGAAAGAGATAAATGAAAGTAAAAAGTCCTCTCAGTCCTTTTACCTCAGCCATCCAACCGATTCCTTTCTGTAGTGAGGTTGGTAGTCTGAACATACACATTGTGGGTGTGTTTTTATCACGTCCAAGTTATTCTGAGAAGCTTAAAACATTTTTCCTCCTAGCAAAAGCAATGGAAGATGTGGTTTATCACAGATCTGAGCAGCACAGATTCGGTCCAGCTCTTCCAGGCTAAGCGTGTGGCAGTGCGTAGAAAACCGCACAGAAAAGGAAAAGAGCCACGTGTACTGCAGTGCTCCCCACCTGCTGATAACCAAGTTATTTAAAATTAGATGGAACTGAAAGATGAAGCAAGATTGGGCTTGCGCTTCTGTGGTCAGGCGCATGTCAGGATTTTGTGAGTTCATTAAGGTTCTGGGAAAAGATAAGGTGGGATTTTAAACTTCCTCTTTAGCAAGGGTTGCGTTATGTCATCTCAGATTCCATGATGCACAGGCAATATTTGCAATCCCTTTTCACTGATTTGTCCTCATTTCAGTGGGCTGTAAGTCCCAGTTCACTGCAAGATGGGACCTTATGTTTATCCCATCAGTGTGTTATTCACAGTCTTCAGTGTGACAAAAAAAGATACCTCTTCAGGATCATCTGGCAATCAGCCTCACTTCCTAGTCACAACTTGGTTTTTTTTTTTCCTCTGAAACCAGCTTCAGTGATATTGTGGTCTCCCAGCTGCACTCATTTTTAGGTGAGCAAAAAAATAATATATGGAATAATGATATATGTGAAGTGCTTAGCACAGACGGTTGTCCCAGGTTTCAGATGAGGAACTTTCATATTTCTCACATGCGGCATCAAACAGCCATCTGACCTTTGGGTGCTACTAATGCAGAGCTGACAAACGTTGTCAACTTGAATTAAAATTCTTGGGCATTTCATTAATAGTCCCCCGAAACACCAACCACACTCACCTCTTTGAATATCTTACAGAACTTCTAAAGATTTGGATGAAGGGATGGCAGAAGTTATTTAAATTTAAATTTAGAAGTCATTTAAATTCTGATTTTGAGGACTGAGTCCAAATTCAAGCTGAAATATCAATTAGTGATGGAATTTTAATGTTACCCCTGGCTAGATCTGCGATATACCAGTGATTGCAGAGTCATTTCCTTAGTAATTTCCTTCTGAAGACTAGTCTATTTCCTGAACTTCGTAGGCATATAAAGAGACTTGTCAACAACAAAGACGCAAACAATGCTGTTTGCAAGGCCATTGTCTGGTCAAAGGCTGTGTTTTGTGAAGAAATGTTTTAAGGAAACCCAATGTCTATGCTGGCGATGCATTCCTGTTGCTACACACCTACAGCTCAGTCACATCACTCACACGGTGATTTCATCAGATTCATTCCCACAACACACAACGACAGAAAAACTTTTAAGGTCACCTACCTTGAAAAATCTCCCTTTGCCTCCTGCAAAATGAGGGATACAAATAAGTTAAGTCATCAAAAATAGGAAAAAAAAAAAAGGAAAAAAGAAAACTACTGTTCAAGATTTTCCATTTGCAAAATTCATTTAGCAGCAATTTCCTGTTGTAACTGACTCCTTATGTATTTTCTGGAACCAGTCTCTGCTGTCAAGTGCCATGCCACATGTGGTGAGCTGGTTAGATTAACAAGCAAAGGGTTTGCCTAATACAGTGGACAAATGAGTCCTCATCCTGCTGGTGGATACCCAAGAAGCCACGGGAAAATAAGTAAATAAGTAATTATTTTGGTCAACACGGATGATGTATTACTAGGAGATCTCTGAAGTCTCGGTGGTTTTGAGAACCGAGAACCCACTGACTCTTTTTACAAGTAGTCTTGGCATTTCCTATTAAGCAGATTTTCAGAAAGCTCCCTCTCAATTTTCAAGGGGATGCCAGACTCAGGATTCCCTAACTCCTTGCTGGGTGTTTGGGGGAGTATTTAGCTCCTTTATCTAGATATTTTTTATTAGAATTACAGCCTGATGCTAAAGGGTTGGGTCGTGTTCCACGCCAATATTTTGATCAGTATCTCAGTCTTACTGGCTATCTGGCACACCCTCAAAACCTAGTGAGCTCCCTCTTCAATAAATGTAATACACGTTTTGCATTTTCCATGGACCATATACATTTCATATGAAATATGTTAAGCAGCTCATTTGCTGACAGCTACACACAAAGCGTAGGTGGTAACTGGTCAGTGATGGAATTTCTGCAGTGAGGGAGTTTCCGCTGCCAAGAGGACCGAGTTTTGCATTCAGGTTTTGTACATGCACCCGCAAAACCTGTCAGCCCATGTCCAGTGGTGCTGCAGTCCCGAGGCTGGGGTAAAGTTCAGCGCTTTGGTGGTACTTTAATTTGTTCTGGTACCACAACAATTTGAAATAAGGCTGCACTTGAATTCTGACGGTCCTTTAGTATCTTCCCATCTCCCTCTGAGTAAACTGAAGGGCAGACAAGCTCTCCTGTGGTTCATAGGAAGGAATCCTTGAACATATCATGATTATAGTACAACACTGAGTAAAAAACAAAGGATATGCCCTGGCCTGCACAGGGATGGGCATACTGAATTCAGAAAACAATTTGTTAGGGTAGATTCTCCATACTTCAGCCCTTTGACCTAAATGCTGCAGTGAGGAGTAAGACCAAACGCTGTGTGATCCACCTTGTTTTGCAGGGATCCCGTCACAAACACGGGCTGTAGTAGTTTCTGGTTCCAGCCAGCAGAGGTGTGGCTTGTTTTGGACTGTTTTCATGAAGTTACACATCAAACTACTACAGGAATACACGCAACATCCTGTGTTTGTGAGGAGAAACAATCGCAGCAGCAAGGGTTACAGTGGCAGATCTGGCTCTGGGCGTACAATTACTAAGCGCTCACGTTATTCATTAGGGTGAGCAGACAATAGATTCATAACCCTATTGCTGCTTCTCACAATAAGCCTGTTGTTTGATGTCTATTCCCCCAACAACCAGTATGCAATTGCTGTAATGTGCTTTTAATTGAGTCCCCCGTCCTGACTCTCTCGCTCCATTTTTGTCACATAAAATGATCTTAATGAAGATTCAAATCCCTAAGCATTAATTGCTTCCTTTAACATGAAAGTGCCATGGAAGTGCAAAGTGTTGTTATTTATTAGTGCCGTCTGGTGAGGTGCCTCGTCTGCTTACATGGAGCCACACAGCTTCAGGCTGATGGGGAAAAAAATAAAATCTACACAAAGAAAGGGGAACAAGAATCATCTGACAATTATTTCTGATCTGCTCCCACAGCCACGCTTATAAATGTGATCTTTCACTAAAAAAAATCCCCACCTCCACTGCCCTGAGAAGGTTCCTCTTTGTGAACCAGATATTTACCAAACCCCGCTGGTAACTCGTTCTCTGACCCTTCCCCTCTTCCTGAAGAGGGAAATGCAAAGATAATATTTGTTTCTGGAGGAGTGTTTTTGGAAAATCTTTAAGCCCTTCTGCCCACGCTGGAAAATACAGACAGTTGTATGTACGTAAGGTTATGGGGATCATCAGAGGGACAAATTTCACTGGGAAAACAAATGCAGCTAAAGTCAGTGGAGTGAAATCTGTACCCATTGGATACAGATTTCACCCAGGAATCTCATTCCTCACTTAGATTTTCTCAGACTTTACATCATACCCCAGGGTTGTGGTGGTCTATGTTATCACAGCATAATATGCATTTATGTAAGCAAAGTGCTGGGCAGTGTCATCTACTTCACATGTGGAGTGTTCTGGTTTGAGAGCCTTATGTACCAATTCTGCGTTGGTATAATTGATGGAAAAGCTGTGTAAAGATGACTTTCACAGCTGATCTGCTGAAAAGTCCTTAAGTCTTAAAACTTAAAACTTTTTAAGTCTTAAAGCTGAGGGCTGCATGCATCCAAATCTCAGCCACATGGAGGAATCTTCCCTTTTGGTTCACAGGGACTCTGAGACTCCTGAAATTTGGGGAGTCTCTGTGCTTCTGACCAGCCATTCTGGATGTTACAAGTCAAAGCACACAAGGAAGCATCAAGCAAGAGAAGGCTGGTGCTTACCTGCAAGATGTAGGCAGCTAGTTCAAACACCACTTCACTGTCAACCTCGATGAGTTCCTTGAAGGGTGAAGAAAACAGAAAAAAAGAGAGTTCAGTGAGTCTGAGCTCCTACATGACCGTGCATCTCCTACTGCTGGATGAAGCACGTGGTGCCAGTTTTCTCTGGCTAGGCTTCAAAGCAGTCCTTGTGCTCCTGGAGACCAAAGTGAAGCTGAACCTGCTCGCTTTTATGCAGAGAAAGACAAATATTCAGTGCGATGGCCTGGAAAATGAAGCATAACTGGATGTGGCATGAAGGGATTCCTTGGGAGGAGGTAGGAGAAGGCAGGTGGAAGGGGGAGGAGCAGGGTCATTTTTATTTTCATTTATCATTTACTGAAAGGTAGCCTGGGGAATCCATTTTGGCATATCTTCACTCTGTAGGACCTGGCCCCTGACAAAAGTAATCTTGGAGGGTGAGGTGAAATTGTGAGCATTTTGCTTGGACACCAGGGTCACAAGGACACTGAGGGCCCTATCTGATCCCTTCAGGGTTCTTCTGCTGTGTCTGAGGCAGTGGTCACAGGGAGTCTGTGCACTGCTTCATCTAAACGTGTGGGATGCAGACACCAAAAATGCTTGGGATGGGTGGCAGGAGCATTGATCCCATGGCCAAGTGTTGGTTTTTGGGAAGACAGTGAGCTTTTACTTGGATAATGCTTAGGCGTCAATTATGCAACTAGGTCTCTGGTGTGGCCACATACAGCGGGTCCCTGCTCAGCTTACTCCTGTGGTGGATTTTCTGTTGTGTTTATTTAAACTGCTGTTTTTAATATTTTATTTCATCTGGCAAGAAGTGAGTTATCTAAATATAGATCACGGCTGTGATCTGTGCTCCAGCCAAGTCAGGGCCGCACCTCATTTACAAGCCACAATCGCGTTGCTTCGTCTCTGGCAAAATCCAAAACAAAGAGAACAAAACAGAGGGTAAGATCCAGGTGTCCTTGGCTTCCACCGGTGCCAGCTTTTTAAAACAAGCACTTCCCTCCCCTCCTGCACGATGACTCCCCGGGGAGTGAAGCCCAGCTCTGCTACAGGCGATGAACACACCTTCCCCGTGATTCACACAGGCACCTGCAGCACCGTGTGCCTGTGCCAAGGGAAGCAGCCGGTGCACGATACAGATGCAGACGGGGCCAGGCTGGGACATTTGGGCATGTCCCACAGCAAATGGTGATGTGGAGAACCAGAGTGCTTGGTCTTCACTCTCCTTGATGCAGCGGGCACAGCGGGGACGAACCAGCCCCTACAACCCATGTCGAGGTTGTGGCAAGTCTGTACTAGTAGGTAGAGTGGGCCAGGGCCCATTCTCTGGCCCTAAGGGTACATGGCAGAGTAAAGCTCATGACTAAACACTTTTCTTCCCTCCCCCAGTCCCAAACAGAGTTAGCTCAAGTGCATTGCCTCTCGGGAACAGGTGCTCGTGCCTGGACAGTGCCCCAGCAATGCCCGGGTCAGGGCTAGTTAGCACCCGTACCAGAGAGTGCTTTTAATTAAACACCGTGACTGGCAGAGGGACAGCATCCAACGCCAAGCCCTGCCTGTTTGGTAGTACAAATGTGGCTTGGCTTTTCTGGGCAATATCGGCTGTGCTGGCCCTGTGCAAGGGTTTGGGTATGTGGGTCAGTTGCATGACCCACAGGAGCAGCACAGCACCCAACACAGAGCCAGCTGGCAGCCCAAGGCACCAGCTAAACAGGACCACAATAAACAGGCCACAGTTTTCTTCTCTCCCAACACGAGCAGTCCTGTATTTGAGGGTGTGTGCCGTCAGAATCAATGGGGGAAGGCTTGATGTACAAACACAGCGTTACTACACATCCCATACCCAGTACAGCCCTTCCTGGTAGGGGAACCAGGAATGAAGCCATCTATGAGAAGTCCATCGAGGAAACTTTTTGTGTGATAAGGAAGGCACTTGCAAGACCTGCTAGTTGTAGGGATGGCAAGCACTGAATCCCCCCTTTCTATACCTATTAAATACCTCCTTGCTGTCTGGGTTCTTGCTCTGCATCTGAGCAGAGACCTTGAAACCAACTTTGAAATTCAGCGCCTTTTTTAATAAGACAGCACGGCTTAGTGTGGCTGGAAGTCAGACAGGGAAGGACTCGCGTGGGAGACTGGGAATCCAGCAGGACTATTTTTGGACAGAGATGACAGTCAGTGTGAATGTGCAAAGTAATGGTTTTGGGAGAGGTCAGACTAAAATAGACCAACCTAGATCTGTAGGCACTTTTTTCCTCTTTTTTTTTTTTTTTTTTTTTTTTTTTTCTATTTTCCGTCTTCTTATTAAGCTTTCTCCAAAAAAAGAACAACAGCGTAAGCTTTTCCTGGCAACACTCCAAAAAGGAACTATCCCCGGGAACCAAAATGTGATGCTCACTGAGCTTGCTGCTGGAGAGGGCTGACTAAGCACATCTCATTGCAGCCTTGCCAGAGAGCAGAGCTCTGTGAAGCTCAGCTCAGCAACTCCATCCCTTCCCTGGTGCTGGAAAAAAAAAAAAAAAGTATTTTCTGGCTTCCTGAACCTTACCCTGCATTTTAGGATGTGAAGATTTAGTCCCTGCATTTTAGGCTATGCAGATACCAGGAAGTGAGGCCTCATATTTGGTGTAAGCAGTTCACTTAGCCTGTCAAAAACATGTTCAGGGTTGTGGGACACGATCACTCTCTGACTACAGATTTCTCCTCCTGCCAGACAGAGCGGAGTTATGAGGAATGGCCCCTACCAGCACAGGGATGAGGGATCCTTCCAGGGAATCCTAGCTGCCGTAAAACCTCTCCCATATGCAGAGCCATATGCAGCCAAGCCTGTGCTGCAGCAACTCTTGGACCTGGTTATTATTTGGACCCGGTTATTTTTTGGACCCTTCCTTTTGGACCTGCATGTTTGGCTTGTGGCACAGAAGCCAACCCTGCTGCTGCGGGGTGGTGGAGGAAGGCTGTGCCAGGAACCCTTATCTCCAGCACACAGCCTCGCAAAGGGTAGCTCTGAATTACCGTCCTGGTGACAACAGGCTGGTGTTTTCGCCAGGACTATTTTTGGCACAAAAAAACATTTCTCCGTGCTGGCTTGCTCCTGTACAATGTGGTCCTCCGCACACAGGCACCGCCCCATGCTCACTCACAAACACACTCACACGCTTACTCTCCCAACCAACAAACTCCCAGTCATACTCACACGCACAGACTCATATACCTCCCTCACAAGTCACACTTTTACACACACAGATTCATATACATCCCTAACACTTCTATACTCACCCTCCTGCAGACACAAAATCTCACACAGTTCCTGTCACACACACACACACGTCGTCACACATGGTAAGCACCCCTCAGGTGCTCACCCCCCCTCTCGCACACACACACATAAACTCACACTTTCCTTACACACACACAGTCTCACAAACACATTTATTTACACACTTTTTATTTATTCACCGACGGCCACACTCCCTCCCTCTCCCCCGTCCCCAGCCCAGAAGATGGCGCCCGCCCGCAGCCCGCGCAGCCGCTGCCGCCCTCTTCGGGCGGGAAGCGCAAACGGCGCTTTTTCAGCACAAAATTAAGATTTTTCCTTCTAAATACCAAGCGCTTTCTCATTTTAACAGCTGCAGATTTCCTCCTGTCAACCACAGAGCTATTTGGAGGGGGGTTTTACCTCAGAACCTCAAAGTCCAGAGATGAAACCCAAGCATGCAGCTTTTAAGGGGATTCATAACTTGAGGGCAGAGGTTTGGGGGCAACACAATGCCAACTGCTTTTTCAGAGCTTCACTTTTCTCATTTCCAGCCAAAATTCAAAATCCTGAGTGCCCAGAGTCCTTACCTTGTAGATGCAGGACTTGGCGTTCAAGAAAAACAGCTCGATGGTGGCATTGTCCTTCAGATAGGAGATGCTTTCAATGTAGAACCTGGAAGGGGGAAAGCAAGAGAGGTGAGACACATGGGGGACTAGGGCAAAACATGAAAATTTACTCATCACATGAAAAGATGTGGTCAATGGAGTCGTGATGCGTCTACTGAAAATGAAGTTTCTTTGTTTGTGGCAGAAACGTCATTTGTTGATGAAAGAGGCTCGTGCGTGCTATAGGACATGAGCACTCAACACCACCCAAGACATACTGAAGCAACTGAATCATCAAGTGGTTTATTTTGTTTCTAAGTAGCTCTTTGTTTTATTTTTTATACTTTAAATAATCCTTTATTCTGTTTGTTTGCAAACTCCTCTTCATTCTCCATCACATTTTGGCACTTTTTCTTTGCCCCTTTACTCTTCCTATCCATTTTTGTGCTGTCAATCTGCCACACATAAAATGTTCACTGCCAGAAATCCACTTCTGTGTTTCCTCTCTGTCCAATTCAGCTCGTCCCAAGGCACATTTTATAATGGCTTTTTATATATTTTTTCGTGGGTAGCATGCAACATCTATAATTACAGAGTAATTAACCAGCAGTAGTTAAGGACCTCACACAATTTAACAGTACCATGGGTAGTGATGCTGGGGATAACAATAATCTATTTTTTAGCAGAGTGAGATGATTTCTCAGAACTCAGTAAAAATCTGCCCAATCCAAACCCTCCATGTTCAAAAAACCCAGTCTATTGCATTGACTGATTACCCCAAATATTTGCAATTACATTGAAAGTCCATTGTATGTATGAAAGATCCTTTGGCAGTGAACTCTAGTTTTGCCACCAGCTTGAATAGAATCCAGCCCTTAATTCTGCCTTGTGACCTTTTGGGGTAAAAATCCCAGGATAAAAATAAGTGCAAGATATATCATCAAATTTAATATCAAACCATTACATATGAGTATGCTGTATGCTTTTAGGATTCCTGTAGTAAGAGACAGCCTATTCAGGTAGTGATTAAGGTGATTGTTTTGTTTAGTTCATGTTTTAAGTGAGGAAAAAAATACATCTCTCTGCCCACTCTGTTTCAGAGTGATCTTTAAGTTTCAGTACAGTGACAGCAATGTTCCTTACATAAATTCCACTACTATCGTGCATTGTCAGAGGCAATTAGAATAGGGAAGGTGCCAGGGAAATGCTGTCTGTATTAGGAACTTAAAAAAAAACACGACAAATACCTTAGAAATCTGTGTAGAGATGCGGAGTCCAGTTACAGAGAAATCTTACTCCGTGACCCCGCTGTCTGGGAGTGAAGCTATGAGACCTGCTGAAACTCTTGGGGCTTCACACAAGCATTAAAGGGATTGTCTGTGTTCAGTTGTTTGTAGAATCGAGGGCCTTAAATGTAACCTTCTCAGGGCTAAAGGTCAAAGCTTTGTAGTGCTCCTAGGTGTCTTCTGAAGACCCTTCAAAACAGTTTATTTCCTGACAAGTACAGCCAACTACATACTCAAATGAAATATTTTGAGCTTTTTATGTTTATCTGCTGAGATGCTCCTGCAATTACCCATCCCCCCCCCCTCCAGAGCAGTTCAAATGAGATTTTTTTTAAAAAGGAAAATAAAAAAGAAAACATGTGAACATAGGAACCATCAAGCATAAAAATTCAACTTTATGTATTTATTTATTTGGCTTCCCCTGGGTTTCACCTCCTGTCCTTGAAGCAGGTGATGGTCAGATCTTTAATTCCAGGGTCAGAAAAAAGAAGGAACATTTACTCTATTTTCAAGTCCCAGTGAAGGTTAGCAGAAACACACTTTTTTGTTTCATCAGTGGATCAAATGAGACCATCCTCATCATCACTAGAGGGCAATATTGCATTTTCTTTCTGCTGCACGGCTCTTTCCCAAGGCTTTCCACATAGACACATGCCCAGATCATTTTCTGTACAAAATTGAGTCTCTCCGAGCACAGAGCCTGCACATGATACTTCATCTTCAACAAGAAAACACAATTCTCAAGTGATCTCCGGCGTGGAGAGTGTGCAGGGGAGCTACTGGCTCTCACACATGCACCCAGGCAAATACAAAGCATGTGCACCAGGAAATTGGTGCTACTTAAAAGAAAACAGATTTACGGAGAGAAGTCTTAGGGGATTTGCTGTGTGGCAAGCTCAGAAAACCTGAACTGGAGCAGACTGCCTTGAATTCACAGCCTGAAAGGCCTGTTTTTTATTTATTTATTTATTTATTTTTTTATTTTATTTATTTATTTATTTATTTTTTCGCACTGATGGTGAATCTGTCAGACCTCCTCCTGTTACCACCTCTTCCAAATGCACCGCGGTTTAAAACGACCCATGGCAGCGCCTAAGGAAGCAGGAAGAAAGCTCCAGCTGCTAAGGCAATGAACCAAGCGAGAGATCTGGGTTAAATTCCTGACTCTGACACAGGTTTCCTTCGTGACCTTCAGCAAATCATGTAGCTCGTTCGGGACTGTTGTGTCGAGTTTGGAAAATACTCCTCCCTCCTTTGACCCCCTGCGTCTGTTTTGCCTATTAAGATTATCAGCCCATTCCTATTGCACGGAGGGGCAGCTATTAGGTTTCTGTCGAGGACTCCCTGGGGAGCAGCATTCCTCCATGTGCTCTGAAGCTGATATATCCAGGAAATAAGGACGGGCTGGACAGAGATGCAGACGGTACCGCGTGTCTGACGCCTTAACTCTGCTACCTGCGGCGCTGAGAATGCAACCAGCAAACAGCTTTGCCTCAAACGGCTCCTACGGGAAGTTCCCTGATAGCCAGCAACTGTTGCTTTGAGAAATGAGGTGCCTGCAAGAAGGGTTAACCCCCCCCCAAAGATTATGTGTGTGTTAAAAGCAGAGAAATCAGTTTGGAAAAGGTTTCAAACGTAAAGAAGGGAGATCAGCCAACGTTAGTCTATCTCTGAGTTTCCCCTCATCTTCCCCCCTCTCCTCCCTTATCCCCAGTCACTTATAATTCATCCAATCTATTTTCTAACCATTAATTAAATGGACCAGGGAATATTATGCTGGGTAATGGACACAAAGTGCCTATCTTGCGTGCTCCCTCTCAGCAGCAGGAAGATAGCAACGAGGACGGCAGAAAGCATCTTGGAAGACTTCAGAAGCTGCAGCATCAGAGACATCTCCGTCTTCCAGCTGCGAGGACGAGCCTTGTGCTGATCAGATGGCTCTGCACGAAGTGTTGGTTAACTGGCAACTCGCTCTGACACAGCTCGAGCTCCCTCATGCCGTGATGAATGGAGATTCCCATCGCAGCCAGCCAACAACAGGCGGTTATGCAGTGGTGCCTGTGAGAAGCAGCTGTGGAAACTCCTGATCTTTGGGTGATGGGAACTTGGTATTGCTGTAATTTCCCCCTTGCACCACATAGATGCTCACCTTCGACTTGTAGCAGAGAGAAATGCCCAAGCCTTGACTCACCATCGAAGCAAGACAAGTGTGATGCCCTCTTGCTTTAGCAGCAGAGCTGGATTGAGCAGCGCTCCCCGTTTCCACACAGCAAAAGAAAGGGTAAAATAAAAACTATTTAGCATCACCCCTACCGCAGCCCTGGACACATCCCATCAACCAGAACTTGGCCATCTTTCACCTCACAGGGACCGGGCTCTGGGCAGTGTAATTCCCAACTTACAGTTGTAAGCTCTGAGATCACAAGCCAGTGTATTTATTTCCAAGTAGAACATGCCAAAAGATAACAGTATTTCACCGTGGCCTTAAACACAATGATATTTCAAAGCATGACCACAGCAAATGGATGTCTTATCTATCTCATGTGGATCTGCCCTGGGGCAGCAAAATCATCCTAGCTCCTCTTAAGTTTGACTCCGGTGACAGCTGGCGTAAAAAGCTTTTATCCAACAACAAAAATCCAACAACAAAACCTTTTCTTTTTTTTTTTTTTTTTTCACCAAAAAGAAACACCTTAAAATGAGGAAGATGTAATCAGAGGAAGGCTGAGGGTGGCCCCAGAGGCAGAGGAGGCAGCTGGGTGAGAGAGATGCCTTCGTGCATCCAAAGGGAGGTGAGCAGTGCCCGGCAGCGATGGGGAGGCTGAGGATGGCACTGAGGCTGCTGGTCAAGGTGACCGGGACTGATAACGGGGTGGGAGTGATTTGTGGGAGGGCTCCTGCCTTTGTTAAGGGGCAAGAGCTGAGTGCACAGCGTTGGCAAAAGGGATTCCTTTCCTTCCAGCCCCGTGACACTGCACCTGGGCAGGGAGACAGAATACCTCTCTTGGGCCTCCTATGAAAAGGAAAAAAAAAATAAAATAAAACAGAATAAGAACCTCAAGCAACTCTTCTTTCCCTTGCTAAAAATATTTTTTCTTCCATGAAAAAGGAAAATAAAGGGGAAAGCCAGTTGTCATGGAAAATGTCAAAATGAAGCAAAAGGATTTTGGTGTTGTTGCGCCGTCACCTTCCTCAGGGCTTCCTCCTGCCCGAGGTGGGAAATGCAGTAGGACCCAAGGGAAATGATGGCGATGGGCACTCCGTGGTGCTTCCCAGCTGGATGGAGGACAGAGCTGCCAGCAGACCCCGGGCTGTCTCTTATTTCACGATTACACAGCGATGGCTAAAAGGAGAAGACCCCTTTCCTGCCTCACCCACCCCGGGGTCTGGCTCATTATCCCCCACTATGTCATTGAAAACCTCGGAGGATAATTTGAAAAATATGAGGCCATTTGCTAACCAGGGGAAGAATAATCACACGCGTCGGTGTAATGGACTTAAATGCAGGCGTCATTATGGCCAGGGTCTCGTGCTAAATGAGCGTTCGGAGCAGCTCAGGCTGCAGAGCTCCTTTTCTGTTGCAGCCCTCTTTGCTAATAGCTATAGGTGTGCATTTTATGCGCTGACACCTAAAGCAGGCAGCGGTTAAATAGCTGGCCTGTTAAGTCATCAGCCAGGAATGAAAATTTGAGACAGCAAAAAGCCCCGTTTACATCCTCTTTGCATTAATTTTGGTTCTGGTACCGTGCTCCGTCCCCTGTGCTTGTGCCACGCTGCGCTC